GATGGAGCACAGCGGGGTGGCACAGCCACGAGAGCACAACAACAGTTGTCTTGCAGGGCGGGCGGGCGGGCGGGGTTGAGAGGGAACCTATTACTCCGGCTTCCAATTTGTTTTCCCCGGCCGCGAGGAGCTCGCGGCGCGTTGGCCTGGATGAATAACATCGCGTGGGCACGTGTGGGCTTCCGGGGAGGTGTACTCGAGCAGTGTAAATGCAAGGGCTTACTGGCACCTCCTGTGCGTTTCTCTGGAGATGACAAAGTGCCACCCAGTTTCGAAGAATCGAACTGCGCGCTGATTGCTGGACATGGACGTTCAAATGCGAACGTCTGCGCTGTGCGTGAGCTTTTGGAGTGGAGGCTCATTGCTACTGGCTAGTTAGTGGAGCTACTTACACCGCTTTCGCATCAGTGTTTCAACGGATGTGAATGGTTTGAATCACCAATAAGATAGTCAGGCTGGGCGCCCAATATTTATACTCGAGCCGATATTGATTAGATCAGAAATGGTTGGAAATGCCCAAAAAATATCGGAAAACAAAACGTGTAAATATTTATTTAATTGGAAAAATACATTATTGAAATAAAATATAATTAGAGAAATTGTTTCGGTGGTGTAGGGCCCCAATGGCCCACCTCCCAGAAGTCACCGCCAGTGACCTCAGGGAGCTACCGGCAAGCAGAGCCATTGGCCACCCCTTCCACCTGGTCCATCTTGTGAATTGAACTCCCCGGGTGTCCCAGGCTCTCACCTGGTCAAAAGAAAACGAACTCGAACCAATACAAAATAAGTCATAAATGCCCCCTACCAGCAGGATATAAATCACAGTCTTTCATTTCAAAACCGTCAACTAAGAACAAGACTAAGATCTATGCTTAACTTTGCATAAACCGGTACACTAAGTTTTAATCTCTAAATGTGGCTTAAACTGTATTGGAAAAGATTACACCTACAGACTGCATATATGTTAGAAATTTAGACGAGTCCCAAACTGAAAATAAGGACTCAAGCCGAAGGTCAGATATTAAGCTCAGTAAAAATAACAAGACTCTAGATGTGCAATACGGCTTTTAAAACCTCATCTATGCTTTGAATAAGGCATTTTTTGTAAACGTTCATTGTAACACATTTTTTTTAACACAGCCCACATCATGGCTACATACGCTGCATTTAAATGTCAGTATCTCTCGTCAGTGGGAATGGAATACCGTTATGTGAAAAGTGAATTGAACAATGTTAAATCAAGCGCAAAAATTATCACGATTCAAAGCTTGAAAACGCTAAACATAATTGCGGGAGTGTTTCGGAAACCTATAACATTTGACACGCTATTCTCCAAATATGTTCAAGAGGTGTTCATTAAGCATTCTTGTAGAAAAATCACAGCAATTATTGAACTTTTGAAAATGTGAGTTAATAATTAATTAGTATGAAATCATGCGTGTTTCAACAAATGTTTATTTATAAATATTTATATTTAAAATCCATCTGTGAAAGAAGCAACACTGCGCAGTATTTGCATTGTGTCATTAACAGGGTTCAGGGGCAATCCCTATTGCAATGTATAGAGATACATATAGAGGCGCAGCCCTGCAATTGCTGTGCTCACGCCACTGCTGGCAGCAAGGGCCCTCCACTGGAGGGAGCTTTAGAGAAGCCACTATCGACATTGAATTTAGGCACACCGCTTCCAGACTGTCCAGACATCTTTGAAGAGGTGTGAGTACCTACACTTGACCTCACCGCACACAACCTACTGGCTAGACAAGACGCCGGAGGGCATTCATGAACCTTTGCACCATTGTTTCAACTGCAATACCTCGCTAATAGATGGAACCGGACACCTCTGGATTGCAAATGCAGTGCGCTGACCGTTACACGACGTCAGCTTTCCTTCTCTGGCAACGCTCACATTGAATGCTCAACAGCCCACAACACTCAAGAGTCTTTGCATTCCTTAGAGATGATCACATTTACCCTCAATGGTCCCAGAGATGGTCCTTATCATTAATTATAAGCCTCAGTAAACTCGAAGATTGCACGCAAGCGGTGAACGTGTGGTTTGCACGAAACGAAATGCTGCTCAATCCAGAAAGATCAAGAGGCTCTGCTGGTTGGCACTCACGCTCAGGCAGAAAAAAAATAGCGAGTGGATCCAGGCGTGGCGGTCATGGACTACAGGATTTAGTCTTCTATTCATCTAAAGAGCATTGGCACAATAGTCGACCAGAATATGTCAATTTCATCACCACGTGCAAAATATGGTCAGATCCTGCATTTTTAATATCAGGGCTCTACGACACATTCGGCCACTATTAATTGGTGACATAGCCAACACGGTGGCATGCGTCATCGTATCGACAAGGCTCAATTATTCCAACTCACTACTCTACGGGACGTCTGGAAAAAAAACATTATCAAGCTGCAGCGTGTACAAAATTGTCTGGCATGTATCATGACGGGTACCGTAAGATCCGACCGTGTCCATCCAGTGCTTGCCGAGCTTCATTGGTTTCCGGTTGCCGGACGAATACGTAAGGTCGCACTCATTACACACAAAGTGCTTGCCACAAATGAACCACAGTACCTTGCTGATTTTGTCAGGGAACATAAACCATTACACGAACTCCGGTCACTCTCGAGCGGCCATCGAACAAAGATGGTCACCGCATCGCACGCCTTCAAATATGCTTCTGCGGCCGTCTGGAATGCTCTTCCTTCTGACATTAAGAAGCCACCAAAGCTTTACACTTTAAATATAGATGAAAACTCATTCAGAACTGCTTTTTGTGTTTCATTTCTTGTTCTTCCCCCGCACCTCCAATTAGTATGGTTGGCTACGTACGGTGCGAGAGAAGTCCAACATACGTATCCCCTTTGCGATGCCCTTGCGCTATAAGAATGTACTAATCAAACTCAATTTGGAGCTTTCGTGACTGCAGGAATTACTCGTTGGTTCTTTCGGTAAAGTCACGTATAAAGAGAAAAAAAAAATAATAGCATACGACGTTTCGATTGCAACACAAGCAATCATCATCAGGTATAAATGAAAGAGAAAACAAAACTAGTATACTTAGAAATATAATGCAATACAACACAGAGAGTCGGCTAACATAACAGTCAACACCCTACCTGGTTGATTACGTTCTTCCAGAGAATGCTAAAATCTCAAAGGGCATTAAAAATTTAGCAATCTCTGGAAGAACGTAATCAACCAGGTAGGGTGTTGACTGTAATGTTAGCCGACTCTCTGTGTTGTATTGCATTATATTTCTAAGTTCACTATATTTGTTTTCTCTTTCATTTATACCTGATGATTATTGCTTGTGTTGCAATCGAAACGTCGTATGCTATTATTTAATTTATTATTTTCTCTTTATACGTGACTTTACCGAAAGGAACCAAAGAATAATGTACTAATACTCAAGCCCAAGACGCAAAACATTGCATTTTAGACCCCTACGGAGGAAGTTTTACATCGTCGTGAAGTTATATTTTAATTTGTGGAGGTCACCCTCGGAGTAAGAAATGTAAGCTGTTTACAAATTATGCAGATGCCCATCAGCAACGAAATTTTACGACTCCAGCAAACACGAAGCATGTAATGCAAATTATTTAATAAATCACTTGTCAGCGTGCAAAGAGTATTTTAAACATCGTCAATGTGCATAAAGCAGCAACAAAAAATAGGCGACATTTTCAGAATGTTAATGAATTCACATTTAAACCACAACACTAAGTTTGAACTGCAGCACGCTCCATATTTCAAACCAAGGCAGATACCCATTGTTTTGGCAGAACATTTTCATCTTCCAATCTTAGGCAGATAAACGGAACAATGTGGCCTCGATTCCTATGAGCTCCAGCATAAAGCTACCTTTAACTTCTTAGAATTATTTGGTGACGCTGAGAAATTATTCGGTGATACTAAACAATTATTCAGTGATGCTGCGTTGGCCACCAGTTGTGCATGAGCGCCAGTCACAAGAAAAATCAGCATGCCCGTCAACAACAACAATGGCTTAAAAGAAGAAAATATATATGCAATCCGCGACGTTTCGGGCATTGGGCCTTCTTCACAGTACATAACTTCGGCCAATATACTAAAATGATGAAAGAAAAAAAATAATTGGTTTTACCCTTTTGATACTGGCAAAAAAGGGTCCCACAGATAGGCCGTGAAGGGCATTACGCACCCTGAATTTTCAAGGGTAAGCCTTTGCACCCTTGCTCACAGCTTCCGAGTTCACTCCGACTCGATGGAGACGTGTCATAAGGAACCCTCCTGAGCACCCTATAAGATTAGACGATTCAAATCTAGAATCAAATCTAGAATTACAATTTGTAGATTTGATTAAACTAGCAAGTTGGCGGTTCTCGGCCCAGTCATGAAGAAAATTGGGGGGGGGGGGGATTTCTGCGAGTGTACGTATATATTAGAGATAGCCATACGGCAAACGCGACTCTCACAGAGCCCTGTCGTGTTGGGTGAGAGCCCTCGTGTAGCGGCTCCAGGCCTATGCCGGCGAGGTCCCTTATTGTGGCTATCCCCTGCCACAGTGACAGCACCACGGAAGTGGTGTCACCTCACAACCCGCGGCTGCATTAGCACGGCTGCAATCAGGCGCAACTGTGCAATTGCTTGCTCGCTCGAGCCACTGAGATCTAGAGGGCATTAGAGGGTATTAGGCCTACTCTTCCGCACTGATGTCTGATAGGAGGTGGGCGTGCCCACGCTTTACTCCACCACACGCAACGTGTCGATCAACGAACTGCTGTATCCATTTACACCGCTGGGTGGACAAAAACGTGCCCCTTTGATTTAACTGCCGCTCCGAGAGCTGGAATCAAACCGGTGACCTCTGGATTAGAAAGTCAAGTTCACTAACCGTTCCACTGTGGCGTTTGCCTACAACCATCACACAAATTGGTGAAATACATTTTAAAAATGCACGCTTTGTTGAGAACGCACGGAAAATGACCAAATAAGCGGGAGTACATACTTCGCTGCCACGCCTCCGGCACGGAGGCTGGAGACACGGGGTTTGGAGTCTTTGTCTGCTCCGCCGGACACGGTGAGACCCAGCGAAGAGCCTTCCTTCTTCACCAGCTCCACGGTCACCGTGCCTTTGCAATCCTCTGCAGGCCAAAATCAAATTAAACCATCAGCACATTCGGCATTCACAGGGTGTTCTTATTGTGGCGGCGCAATCACGACGGTGCCGTCTTCCATAGGCGCAGCCTGCAGTCGTTTTGCTGTCAGGGTTGACACTGCTCTGTACCGAGCAATTTGAACTGTGTCGCCAGGAGACACACCCAAGTCTATTCCGAATAATGTCACGGGAACTTTAACGTCCACTGTTAAGTGGGCCGCGCGGTACGGTTCTATGGTTAATGCCCTCATGGTATTAACCAGGGGCTTGAACCGTGGACCTCAGCAGCAAGCTGCAAATGCGTCACTTCTCAACCTTGTCACAGATAGACAGGGAAGGATGTCCCCACATTTATCCATCCACTCTCTCACCCTCTCTCCCAATTGCTTTCTAACCATCTTCCACTGCTGCGCTATCTCATGAAACACATTTTCTCCATTAACAGAATTCACATAAATCATGCGACACATCCCTGCAGCTCTCATCTTTTTAGATACCTACCTAGGCTGACAAAAATTTGACATTGCATTAATGACATAAAAAAATGACTTTAAATTGATTTTCAAGAATGTTCCCAGAGCGCTCGAGTGGCTTCATGCACATGCCTCACTGGGGGGTAGTAGGTTACCACTGTGGCAAGATGTAAACTACCCCGCCTGGTATACAGGAGGTGGTGGGTTCGATCCCGATCCCGACCCTGACGCCTGCTGTATATTTGGATTTGCATATTCTCCCCGTGGTCGCGTGCATTTTTCTATGGGTCCTCCGGTCTTTCCCTCCCCATTTAAAAACATGCATTTAGAGTATTTTGCTGCAGTAAATTTCCACATGACGGAAAGCCACTCTGTTGAGCTATCATTTGTGATAGCCAGATCGCTTCTGAAAAGAGCTTCATAGCTCAGTGGGCCTTATCTGGTAAAATAAAATAAAAGTTTAATAGTTTAGTTAAAATGGGGATATTATCCATGATCCAAATTTTCTGGTTAATTAAATAAATAAAAAACGAAGCTAGTTATACAATTTGGGGATAATCTGAAAACAAAATTTTGGGGTCAATCCGAAAATGTGGAAGTGACATCACTTCCATCATGTCACTTCCATTCTTTACCATCATCATCATCACGATCCATGGGAAGATTGGCCGTAGGTGTCCCCTGCACATTGTCATTTGTTTCCACTTTATGCTATTTGTGCCAATACGCTCAAGCAGTGTTATGTAACTTACCTTTAATAATCATGAACACAAACATATTTAAAAGCAAAAATATCGATGCAAGATTAAATACTTGGCTACTATACGGTACTGTATATGCACGTAAAGGAAAGTGCTCACGTTGCAAATGGTGCAGCAGTCAGAGGCCGACAGGGCAGGAGAGCGGTGTCGCGTGGGGGACAACTCAACCATGACCCACGCCGCTCCAACGCCTCACCACGTATAGTCAGTAGCGAGCTACGGCAAACAATACTTTAGCGCAACCCCGTGAATACTTAAAACATAACCCTGCCAATACTTAAAACACAACCCTGTCAATACTGAAAACACAACCCCACTAATACTGAAAACACAACCCTGCTAATACTGAAAACACAACCCCACTAATACTGAAAACACAACCCCACTAATACTGAAAACACAACCCCACTAATACTTAAAACACAATCCCACTAATACTGAAAACACAATGCTGCAAACTGCACAACAATCAATTCGACGTGCATACGGAAAACCGCGATTATTGGACCCCCGAATATTAAGGGTTTGCTCTATTATGTAACACAAACAATTTACGAAAAACAATCCCACAGACTAAGAAACACGGTAAAGATGCACAACAAAACGAATACAAGCTTCGAACACAAATGACGTGTGTGGACAGGTCCGCATGCTATACAGAACGCTCGTACACACACACACATTCTGCGAGCGTGTTTACGCCTTGGGCATTCTCCAGACTTCCTCGCAAAATTTTTAAACCACTTATGAAGGAAGGCTTTCCCATACTTTGAAGGTTAGTCAATATTTACAGATTTTTCTCACTATTACTCGCGCATGACTCGCGTGCTACGGAAGCCGAAGGCTTTGTAACCAGACGATATGACGTTGGCACTTACTTGCAATTGTTCATAATGCTTTGGTAAAAGTGGGCATATGAAAACGACCAACCTGCCTAAGTACCCACACCCATTCACCTACCGACCTCATCTCAACAACCTGCCCCCGACAAAATTCTGAAACCTACCTTCTGTACATATTTACCTAATTACAACCAACATTCGTAAAAAACCTACTAATAATAATGTCCATAAAAAAATGTGTTTCATGAAGAAAAAAATGACGCACTGGCCTGTCGGACCAAGGGTAATAAAATAATGAATTAATAAATAGGAAAAAGGAATGAAAGATGTTAAATGCCAGAAACGAAATCAAATTTAGATGCATCAGCCTCGGAGACCAATGGTCTTTTTTCCCAGCAACTTTTGTTCGGGCAAAAAACTGGTTTTGGCTTCTCTGAGTCTCATCAGCAGCGTGTGTGGCCTGTTAAAGCAATGCTGCAGGGTTGCCTGATGTCATATGTAAGAGCTCTCCATGAACACTGTGAAGTCCGTTTAGCTTAGAATGCATGATGCAATTATGCCCTGCACAGGTCAATTGTGAGTACCGTAACTATGAAGAACTAAACAATGGTCAGTCTCATTGCACAAACATAACATGTTTATGTGTATTCATGGTTCTTTCGGTAAAGTCACGTAGACGCGAAACAATAAAATAATAAAAATATAAAACAATAAAATTCTGACGACGTTTCTACTGCAACACAAGCAATCATCATCAGGTGTGTCATCATTGCTGTGTTTTTCACACCTGATGATGATTGCTTGTGTTGCAGTCGAAACGTCGTGAGAATTATATTTTTTATATTTTTATTATTTTATTGTTTCCCTTCTACGTGACTTTACCGAAAGAACCAAGAATATGAATCCCTGCAGTCACGAAAGCTTTAAATCAAAAATGTGTATCAGCAAAAAAGTATTTTCAGACCAAATATAATATTTCAGGAGCAAGCTTTTAAAAAAATGAATTACTACGCCATTTCCAACGATTTGCCAAGGCAGCGCATAACTTTATACATATTTCTGTGCTACAAGGCCTTTCGGCTCAGACATGTGTTTCTGCATCTCGACGTCGCTCTGTCTCTCTGTCTCTTTGTGTCTTTGTGTCTATCTGAGAGCAACAAGGATAGACACACAGAAACAGAAAGATGCACAGAGACACACAACGCTATACGCACACAAAGATGCACAAATATCCCTTTACGGGCTTTTGGGGCAAGTGCTGTTCGCAAGCACCTATGAAGGCTGGCACGGTACCTGAGGTTGGTGGGTGGCCAGCACCACGCCCGGCCGCATTGTCTCCCTAGTGGCGATGTTTTTCACACCGCACCAGGTCGGGAGAGGCCCAGGACGACTGGTTCAGATAATCATCACTTGGTGTTGGCTGTGAGTGGGAATCGAACTCCGGTCGCCAGGTTCGTAGTGCGGTGCACTAACCAATGCGCCACCGCAACCCCCCACACAGACACGGAACAGACACATTACTGGCGGGAACATCAGGCACTTGTTCAACGAGCTGTTGATGAGCATATGCTGCTGGGGGAAAAACAGCCTATCACTTTACATCAGCTTTCAAAGGTTTTTGCAAAGTGGAAGTTTAAATATATAAAGCGCCTGACAATTATACCCTCATGATAAAAATAAAACATTCAAATGATTTAATCTATTAACTCATCACTGATATGTCAAATATATAACCGAAAGCAATTATGGTCACCCACACATGGGATTGTTTGTTAATCAGCCAATTATACGAACAGGAAAAAAAATTGAAGGAATTAAAACCAATACAGTTTTTTAATTCAATTACAGAGTTGAAAATTTCCACCACAATTTTGACGTCAATATTAATTAATGGCGACATCGCAAATTTGCAACCACAAGGACAATCGCAACGTTCAGAGATTATGCTTTAATCGTCACTTAAATACGTATAAGAAGCAAAGGGCCGATTGAAAATCCAGCGCACGCATTTGATGTATGACCGTTCCGGAGATAATACGGCACAACTCCTGCCGCTAAAAACCTTTCCGCTGCAAAAAATAAATATCGGGATGATTGAGTGCCGTGCATGCCGAGAGAAATCACGGCGACGATAAACGCATTTGTTTAATACTTAACAATGTTTAAAATGGTGTTTTGTAACTTGTGCAAAGCTTCGATGGGCCGGCGCTGGGTCGTGGCGCGATGGCTGCGTCGTCGCGTGCTGGAGCAAAGTTCGAGTGCGTCGAAGATAATGCTCGGTAATAAGTTATTACAATTGTTCGTGCTTTCATGTTTGTTGTGTACTTGATGACATTAAATACTGAATACGAGCCCACCACAAGCACGCACGCGCGTACCAGGTCTGTATACTATTTATATTATACTGTGAAACTGAGTGAAAGCTATGTATTTCTTCCATAATACAGATTTATTTTGGGGGGTTAGATCGCACACATATATAAATGTGTCATTTAACCGCCACCACCCGACACAGCCAATTACTAAGGGTTGTCACGTAAATAGAACATGCCAATTCGTTACTAGTACAGCACACCGGTGTGTTGGAGAGCAAGGCCACAACATTTACAATCTGAGTACGATGTTTCGCCAGTACAATAGAACCTCGGAGATCGAACGCACCAGATCTCGAACAAATTGGTGTTCGAACGACATTCCCAAACATTTTTTGCCCCGGAAACTGAACGAAATTCGGAGGTCGAACGGGCAATCGCGACTTGAAAGAACCTGTACGGCTGAGACGCGTATGGCCAGCGTGCATGATGCTTGCCCAGACAAAGGGGACTCCCCTTCCAAACAATAACACCACCACCTCCTCCTCACCACCTTCCACTCAAGCCATCAACTCTCCTTACTACAGGTAAAGTAACG